ATGCTTGTTCTCGCAATCTCTAAATTGGTCACTGGAGAAAAATGATAAATTAGCTAGAAAACTGCTCTAGTGCAAACTTCTGCAATTTATTTGTTGGCACTGTTAGGTTGTTTTCAAAACCAGGTTTAAAATAAAAAAAGGTACAACATACTGTAGTTCGATGAGTCATTGCACACCTGTTTAGAAGTCTGGCAGGATGCCACATATTAACATCCTAAGGAAAACACTTGCCTTTTAAAGCAATCTTAAACTCTGAAGTTGTGACCTGCCTTCTTGAAGAAATACTTTGCTAATTTTTATTTGTGTGTCAACCATTATTAGCTGGAAGACTATTATCCCAGTATTTTTTTTTTTAAAAAACCCTTAAGAGTACCTGTGAAAAGCACCATGAGAGATTGTTGCTGCCACATCTTTACAGTGATGCCATACATTATCCAAAGCAAACAGCAACAAACGTAAGAAAATTACCATATCTGCCTCTCCATCATTCCAAAACAAAAAGATAGCTGAAACACAGCAGCAAATTTTTCACCACCCCTTCCCCACGGGAAAATAATTGGTAGATGAAATTTTGGATGCAAAATTCTATAGGGGCAAAGCAGTTAAAAGCAATTTGGAATTCATTCAAAACAGGAGGGTGGAAGCAACCAGAAAGATTTAATGCCTTATTTCAGAACAGATTTTATCCACATTTGCCACCATCTCTCCTAAAGAAATGAATCACAGTGGTAATGTCATTGCACTAGTAATGCAACAACATTTGATGTCCTTTAGGGAAGGAAACCTGCCAACCTCACTGGTCTGGCCTACATGTGACTAGATCGACATCAATGTGGTTGACTCTTAACTGCCCTCTGAAACAGTTTAGCAAACTGCTCAGTTTGCGGTTGTTTAGGGATTGGCAATAAATGCAGAACTAACCAGTGACGCCACATCTGATAATATTTTTTCTTTTACGAAAGGTACTAGGATACTCAAGATCCCCCTGTACACAGTTCTGCAATTTCTCTCCACTTAAACAACATGCGGTTTTTCTATTCCTCATGCCAAAATGGACAAGTTCACATTTGCCCACACTATACACTATCTGCCAAAATTTTTTGCCCACTCTGATATCCCTGTGCAGACTCCTCACCGCGTTCACAGCTTACTTTCCTAACAATCCCTGTATCATCAGAAAATTTAGACAACCATTCATTTTGATCCTTCATCCATGTATATAGATTGTAAAGAATTAAGGGTCCCTAAACTAATCCCGGAGGCCAATCACTCCCCACAACCAGTCAGCCCAGGAATGAGATTTTCATGTCCGCCCTCTGCTTATTAGGCAGCCAATCCTCTACACATGTTGATAGGTCAAACCCTAGACCATTTTTTTTTTTTTTTTTTTTTTTGCGCACAGTAAGCTTTGATTTGGCACATTGCTAAATGCCTTTTGAAAAGCCAAATACATCAATGGGTTTTCCACTTTACCTAGATAGTTTATGTCCCCACAGAACTCTAATAGATTCAATTAGTTAAAGTTATTTCCATCTAGTTCCACTGCCTCCTGTTTATGGATAAGCCCTGTTGAATCTTGTTTCTTCCTCTAAACAATTCATACCACCACAGAGTACTCAGACATGTCCCTCCATTAAGATACTAGGGATTGTGCTCCATAAACATCAAAAATTTATTTGCTTACCCCAATCTGGACCTGATTTGTAAATGTTGAGTGCTACTAAATGACATGAATCATCATTTTAAAGTGTTCCAAATATACAAGCAAGATGGTCACAAGTTTATTAACAATGTAAACTCCTTTGACTCCATTCTTAAAACATCCCAGAACCTCATCTCTAGAAAACGAGAAGCATCCAAAATCTTTGCCAATCCCTACAATCGAAGCATGAGGTAGCCACTACATTGGACTTCCTGCCAATCGCTCATTATTCTGCAGAGACTTTTCCAAAGGAACATTTTAGTTAAATTGTTCAGGCAAACAGAAGGAAAGTTAAATGACAGGATTTTCCACTTTTGCATCCAGTAACCACTGAACTAAAGTAAAAATTCCAATGATAGTTTGGACTAGGAACCAAATCATGTACTCAATCCCTTCCCTTCTTAGATAAACATATGGCCCAATATCCGGCAACAACCAAACCACAGTCCTTCCACAGACAGGGTCCAATTAAATAGACATTATGAGCAATTAGGACAGCATAGACCAAGCATTTAGTCTTCATCTGCCAATTTACTACACACCATGGAGACTCTCAAACCACATTTAAGAAGTTTAAAATGAATGTTCTCATTAAATTTGCATGCAACTCAACTTGCCAATACCAACAGACATAGATACTCTAATTTAGAACCTGGCCACCAATGAAGCAGCAGCATTAAAGAACAGACATTTCCAAACGTTGGGACCCACAGAATTCAAACAGGGCAAACCGAAGAAATTCGACAATGAAATACAACAGTGTGGCTCTTCTAAGGCTCATATGACGCTATAGGCTTTAGGTTAAGGACCCAATAATTACAAGCTGCTAAATCCACTCTCTACAAACTTTTCGCTTTAAAACAATTAGCAACCAGAAGAAAATGGAGATTCATATGGTCAATTTAAAGCCAAGATCCTGGAGCATCAAGAATATCCTAACTGTATGAAATACCCCATATAGCTCTTTCCTAATACAAAAGGTCAGCTTATGCTAGTTTCTGGCACTTACTCCAGGTACATATTAATGTAGACACACACAAATGGTAGCTCAAATTGAGGATGGGGCAGTGGAGATTTCTTGAGGCCAGAAGCAATTTTAAACTGCACTATATCTAATCCAAATAGTCAATATAAACAAAATCGGCAACATTTTTCATACCACCACTTCCCCACTCCAATAAATGGTGTTGCCAATTGGTATGCCCCTGCTCTGCATCGTAACAGAAAAGGAGCAGCCAAAGCAAACTTCTTAGAAGTGCAGTGGCATAAACAGCAACCTATTCAGCATTGCCCCTATAACTGGCAGTGCCTTTGTGCTGTTGGGTAATACTACTTTAACGTTTAAGGCAATTTACTCAGCCCAATATTCCCATGGGACACGGAGAGCATTGAGCGGCTCTTTCAATTAGTTTAACGTCCCCGTTAAAAATAGCAACCAGAAGGATGTTATACAAGCATGTTCAGCACTCATGAATAATCAACAACAGTAGTAATTTCTGGCCTCACATATTAAAAAGTTGCTTGAAACACATCACAGGTCAATTAACATCAGAAAGCAGAAAAAGAGCTGAGGGAAAAGTGGCCCATTTGTTCAAATGACACGGACTCATCCTTATTCATGGAGCAGGCTAATGTGTAGCTTATCAAAGCCTATTAGTCACTTTTACTTAGTCCTAGATCCCCTTTTCTTTAAAAAAAAATAAAGACAGGGCATGTGGCCTTTAACACTAGGCATATTTGGAACGGCAAATTTTGCAAAGTTAAAATCAGAATATTGGTACCCGCAATTCATGTACTTTTATGTCTGCTCTTGGATGGTTGTGGTCATGGTTAGATACGGTGAATCATTTGTTAGTGGATGCAGAATATACTCCTGCTTAGCTTCTTGTATCCATGTGCCCAAGTAATACAGCTGGGATTAGAGTTTCTGGACACTGAAGTTGTACTCAAATCCTGGCAACAAAGTTATTTGTTTTAATTCACTGACGGGATGTCACCGTTGCTGAATGGACCAGCATTTGCTGCCCACCCCTAGGTGCCCTCAAGTAGCCAGTGTGAGCTGCCTCCTTGTACTTCTGCAGTCCATGTCTGTAGGTAAACCCACAATGCCATTTGGGAGGAATTCCCAGTTCATTTACATTTATAAAATTATTTGTTTTACTTTAAATATATTCTGTTTCATAACAACCATAAATGCTTACAAGTTTTGAAGTTAAAAACCATCGTACAGCATTTACTTGTCCACGGTCATTCAATGTCAATAGTCAATGTATATAATGTCAAAAAACTTTTTGAAGTCGCAAGCCAAAAACCAAGTGTTGAGCCAAAAAAAAAACGTAAAGTTGACCAAAAGTTTGGCCAAAAAGTGATCCTTTTAAGATGAACATTGAAAGGAGGTGAGAAATGGACGAATCCAAGTATCAAATGAGATAACACGGTGTAGAGCTGGATGAACACAGCAGGCCAAGCAGCATCAGAGGAGCAGGAAGGCTGACGTTTCAGGCCTAGACCCTTCTTCAGAAATCAAATGAGAATTGACTTTGAAGGGAGGCGACATTGATCAAAAACAGGAATGCTAGGGGAGTGTAATGGCTATGTGTAGCAGAACACGCTGAGAAATGGCAGAAAGCCACAGCAGGAAAAGGTGTCAAAGTCATTTAGGAACGAAGAGTTAACCGTGAGAATAAATCTTATGACTGCCACACAATTCAACTTTCATCACATTCTAATTCCACTACTATTGCCAAACTTTGTTGCACTTTAGATTTTTTTTTCCTCTCTAATAAAAATGTGCTCCAAGTATTCAGTATATCTACAGCTTAAAATATAATGAGCCCATGTCCTGCTGCGCTCTTGATCTAAGTTGTCACTGTCACATACTATTGGAAGCCAGTGTTCAATTTTCTATGTTGGCTTGCACATAGCTATAAAAAGGAACAAAAAAGTTTTGAACAGCATAAGCAAGCTACGTGACAGTGTTAGTGTTTGGACAACTAACCAGCATAGGTTGTTAATTAAAAGTCACAGAAGCGGGCATTGTCATTGTAGTAGCAATGTCATATGCAAAAAAAGGATAAGAAAGAGACATGACAAACAGTAAGTAAATCTTTTACAAGCCCATTTTACCAGTAAATTTTTTTTTTTTTTTTTTACTGTACTCGACTGGCACAGCAATCAAGGTATTGTTCACTTTCTCACGTATTAATTTTCAACATTTGCTTTCACATTCTAATTTAGGAATTGATGGTCAAAATAACATTGACTTGAACAACATTTTATTAAAATATCTTGTACTTACCATCACATAATGTCGCTGCATTTCTGTCTTTTCACTGGCCAGTTTCTCACATTCCATCTTAAGGCTTGCAAACAAGGAAAGGAATGTTAGAACATATTTCAAAATGGTTCCAAAGGCCCTTAATCCCACTTTCAACTACCTTGATGCAGCAAGACACTTTTGAATTTAAACAACTGAAGGTTATATCTCCTTCACACACTTGAGCAGAACACAAGGAAAACCCTTTCCTTAGCTTCAGTTTCTAGGCTCTAATGTCAAGCTCAGATATGGTGGTTGCTCCTGAACTTCCTTCTCAATTTGCTGGAGGCCCCAGTTTGCAATCTTAAAGCAAATTCATATCCCCTCATCCACGATGTTGATATTTTGGCTCACTGTCCTATTTTCTACTCATCCCTTCCCAAGATCTGAACTTGTGAAAACCCTCACCTCCCTCAGTGAGGGCTTCAAATCTGCATGTTTTTCCAATAATCAGGGGGCTGCAAATTTATGGCAATTGGTTAAAGGGAAGATTGAGAATTCTTAACTTAAAAGTACATGCAGCATGTTTTGATCAGCAACACACTGCATGAAAAGAGATTGAAGCTGATTTCATAATAAAACAGAAACTGGGTATACATTTGAAATAGTAAATCTTTGCAGAATTCAAAGCAGAATTAACTGGAGTAGCTCGTCCAAAAGAGCCAGTACAGTCACGATAGGCAGAGTGACTTCCTCCTGTGCTCTTAAAGATTCTGTACATTTCCAGCCAGAAACCCCATCCAGGTAACATCTGAATCATTACTTCAGAATTCAGCTGGTCTGCATTCCCTATCCTATTGTATTAGTGCGAATGCCTTTCATCCACATTTATCACTATTAATAAGAAATTCCAATTAGCTTGCATTAAACAACACAGTGCATGAGGAAATTTGATTGTGGGGCTTGCAATAGCTTTCAGTAGCAAGGTACTTGTGACATTACTAGAATTAAAGCACAAAGGGTGACAGATTTCACTCATTAGACCTCTGTCTCCATCAGAGTATTTTTAACGCCAGTCACTTCAATTGATGCCACTTGGTTCTCTCCCTCTCCTCCTCGCCCAGCTTTCAGGGCAAAAAGGTTAATGAGACTTCATAGAAAGCTATTAAGCTTAGGCAGTTCAATAGGAAAAGGCAGCAGCAGGTGGAATTGATGCACTGCAGGAAAGCTTATTAAAATGGAAACTTTGATATCAGAATTTGACTTTAAAAGTAAAATCAGCCTGGGTTATTAAAAAGACAGCATAGTTATACATCTCTCTCCCTCTCCCACAGGTAATTATGCCATTAAGCAAAGGCCTCAGCAATTTAAACGCGTGAACAACTAGCTTTAATATCTAGTCTGTGCTAAATTACACTCAGTCTAGATGACAACAGAGCTGTCAAAAGAAATATAAAAAAGGGAGAGATTAAAAGGACTAGAAAGAATGAGGCATATTTCAGAGTTTTTTTTAAACCTATGAAGTTGTGCTTACTTTTCAGCAAGAGGTAAATTCCAGTGCACCCAAGCTAAAAGCCCAGTTTAGTAGGTCCAGTAAGGATTGGTCTCTCTGTCCAGGTGGTTTGTATACGTGAGATAAAGAGAAGGTGCGTGTGTGTGTTCCTCCCACAACCTAAAGGTGTACAGGCTAGGCAGATTAGCCATGGGAGATGCAGGGTTGTGGGGATAGGGTGGGATCTGCTTTAAGAGGGACAGTGCACACTTGATGGGCCAAATAGCATCCTACATTGCAGGAAGAGGCCATGATATCCAGTGGCTTTCACAAGAAAGCCATGTAGACAGAACGTGGGTTAGAACAGACGCTTCTGCAGAATGACCCACTTTTACTGAATAGCTCAACAAGCTATAGAATGACAACGTGTGAAGAAAAAAAAATTTGCATTTAAAACTCATGACTTCAAGATATCTCCATGTGCTTCACAGCCATTTAAGTCATGCAGCAACCCTTGGCAGCCAATTTGCACAGTGCAGGCGCCCGCAAACAAACAAAGTGACAATGGCCACATAAATCCGATTTAGTGATGTTGATTAAAAGGGATAAACAAACGATTGGTCACGTCACTGGAGAGACCCTGACAGCTCCTCTTCTAAACAGCAGCACAAGATTTCTCGCATCCACCATTGAGCTCTTCCAAAAAGGTGGGAGGCTGCAGAGTGTGTGCAACTGAGCAATGTTGAGGCTGCACGGCATGGATCAAACACTGGCAGCAACCATCACACTCTGCCTTCAAAAGCAGCTGTGGGGGCGGTAGAGACAGTCACACCTCCTTCTGGAACGTGCCTTTGCAAAGGAAGTCTGGAGAAAGATGCAGGGATTTGTGTAGAGGTTCATCCTGAACAGCTCTGTGCGCTCTACAGGCTGTTCCCCAGAACACACAAACAACAAACAACCGACCACGCCTGGAGGACCATCAACTTGGAGAGAGATGCTCTTTAGTCTGTCCGAAACTTGTCGGTCTTCTTGAGCAAGGAGTTGATCCCAACTGATTGTTGCATATTGGCACATTCCAAGGTCCAGGATTACATGCTGAGGGATACACTCAAGCTTGGGGTAGCTTCTGCCAAAGGTACAATGGGGAAAACCCAACGGTCTGAAGTCTTCCCGCTGAAGTTAAATGGGGATCAGTCAGTTACTAGACCATTCTGAGGCCTCAATGTATGTAAATATAGTCTTGTTCAAGGAAGAAGTGCCTTTGGCTTGTTTGGATAGAGTCAAACTGCAATGGTTGTGTGTTTCCTCATGTGCTGATGAACAGAACGTCTGTCTGTCTGTCTATATATATATAAAAAGTACATTTTTGGCATTAAAAATATCTGACCCAGGTGATGTATTTATATTGCAACACCGTCTTATGAACTTTGTCTCGTTTGAGGACCTAGTTGTTAGGAAATATGGATTTCCATAGAAAATTTAACCAAATACTGTACACAGAGGCCTAAAACCTCCAAAATAAGGTACATTCCAAATTGAGCTACCCAGAAAAAGCAGACACAAGTTGGAAGGAAGGAAAGAAGGCTGTACAAGGAAGTATCAAAAGTAAAACGCTACGACCAACAGATTGAACCATTTTAAAAACCACTTGTGCTTTATAGCTGGTAAAATAACTTGTGTCATTTTACTAAGATGATGAGGCCTTTTAAATTATACAGCAAAGTCTTCAAATGTCTCAAGGAAGTTTCTGGTAGATTAGACATTCTTGTACACGCTGCATCTATCCAGACTGCAATGCTTGGCCAGCGTCTCTTGAAAATTTCTCTGCAAGCAATCTTTCCCCCCCACAGACAAAATTGAAGGCGCTTGGTGATAGAACTGGCATATTCTACTTTTAGATTCTTAAAAGGCTAGTGCAACTGGCAAATCAGGATCAACCGCAAAGTCCCATGGACACTTGCTGCATTTAAAAAGATGGAAGGACTTGGTTTTATTTTTAGCTACAGGTGATATCATGGGATTTGGAGGGCATCACTTAATACCAACAAAACAGCAAGCAGGCACCAAGAACCTGGCCTCACATTTGTGTTGTTTTTTTTTAAAAGCAAGAGCAATATGTTTGTCGAGGCAAACAATCCCAAGTTGCGGTGTAGCACCTAACAGAACACAATCCCGCTTCAAAGATCAAAGCAAATGTTCCATAATTTATCACCAGTTCATCGTACTAGTGAAAGATCTTCTTCTCAGCAGGTTTCTCAGGAAAGCTCTCAGTATTATCCGTCTGTCTCTTCAATAAGCCAAACCAATGCCCTCTCTGGTTGAACTTATGAATTTACTGCCAAACGCTTGGCAGCTCAGTACTATCAGCCGATGGACTGAATTTGCCCCAAAGTCATTTCACGCGAGAGAAGAGACTCTCAACTGGTTAGTCTGGGTTGAATTTGAATTTAGCAACCCAGAGGTGAAAGGCCAGTGTTTAACCCAGTGTCTGACTCCATGGATTCACATCATGCTCACGCACTGACAAAAATAGTACCAGAATGAAATTTGCACCAAGTCACTTCTTCAATTCGAAGAGCAAGTTGGCTACGAACGTCAAATGATAATTCAAAGAGAGAGCATTCCCCACAGCTTGGTGGGACTGCATGTGGAGTATTGTGGTAAGTTTAGGGTCAGGGTTAGAATGTCATTCTGGCCACCTTGTCCAAGGACAGATTTACCTGCTATTGAAGAGGGTGCAGCGGAGGGTGGCCAGACTGACTCCTGGGCTGGTGCGACCATTCTGTGAGGGGAGGTGGACCAAATTGAACATATATTCTCTGGAGGTTAGAAGAACGAAACATAATCACATACAAACCTTCAGAAATGTCAGAAGGAGTGAACAGAGTTGATGCAGAAAGGATATTTCTTACCTCTTTGACCAAGCCTTTAGAGATCTGCCCTAACTCCTCTGGGACTTGATGTTATATTTTATTCCATAATGCCCTATGAAGCACCTTCTGGAATGTTTTATTCCATCAGTGCCACATAATCTGGTTGTCACAAGAGCTTATCTGGTGGTTTTAGCACATGGCAGGGCCTTTTTGCTGATGTCAACAGTGTTGTTTGACTATTCTGTCCTCTCGCAACCATCTGCATGCATCTACTTTCAGCAAGATTAGCTCTTAAGGAGGAAGCCCTGATGTATGAACTCCTTAGCTCAGTCCTTCAGTTATTGCACACTCTTATTGCCTTGTTTACTAAAGGCAGGGGACTGAGCAGCGACAGGTGCATGGAATATGTGACATGAGTTAACAGCCCACAAGAACCAGGAGAGGGGAAGAAAATGTGTAACACTGTCCAGTAGGATAGGAAGAAATTAAAAGGAGAAATGGAACAGCTGCGCCATTTTGGTCATTTTCTTAGCACCAGCTGAGTAAAGGTAGTTGCATAGCTGACCAGAGTCAACTAATTTAATCAAGCAATCTGACGTTTTGCCTGTCACATTCAGCATTTTGAGTTTATGCAGGATGCATTGTGTAAACTACACTCACAGCTAATGAGGTGCTGTGTTGGGAATGGAGCCTGGGAAAACGTACTCCAAATGTCCCAACCAGAGCAAAGGCAAGTGTCCAGAAGTTATCTTAGATGTAGTCGCCCCAAGGACATCAAGAGAAGGAAACTGGAAGATAATATGTTTGATAGGGAATTATCCAGAGTACTAACATGAATCCCACTGATTCAAAGCACACCAGAATAAATCAAAGATGAGAGGAGGCCATTTGGGCCATCAAGAATCTCCTACAGGTGCCCCAGCTCCCCAGGCCAATTATCCACATTTTGAATGCCCCAATATTCTTAGAATAAATTGTTAGCTCAAAACAAATACTTATCACTTTTTCGGGTGAAGAATAGCCTTCCAGGATCTGTTTTAAGTTTACTTCCCACTCTTTGCCAAGCAGCGGCTACACTGTTGGTTTGAGTTAAGGTAGGCACTTCATCAGGGACCAAGCACTGCACCTTGTCAAAGATGTTGGCAACATCTGTGAAAATATCTACAACATGTTGCCTTTATTCATAACTCTTCCTCTGCCAAACAGAAACACCCATTCCGAATGGCAAATCAAATGGCTTTATAGCTTGGCCTCACCTAAAAGTGCAATCAAAAGTCATGGTTAGCTGCACCAATTGACCACCACCATCCCCCACCCACCCCCCCCAAGCCCTGTTTTAAAAATCTCCACATCACCTATTGTATCAATGAACCTTCCAATTTTAACAACACCCACACTTTTAAATTTGAGCACTTAGATTTGAAAAGGGCAGAAAAATAGAATCAGACTATTTGGAGAGAGGCCCAGTTCAAAAATAGTACTCACAGAACTCCAAAACCAACTCAAAACATAAATGGTTCACTTTTAATCAACTCAAAATGTTAACTCTGTTTCAGAACAAGAGGGAGAAACAGTCACATTCAACTCTATTACCTGTTTCTCACACTCTCCAGATGCTGTCAGACTTTACTATTTCCACCCTTATGGTTTTTATTCTGAAAACCCTTTGATGATAGAATGGAACCTCAAATCAGGGAAACCAGTGGACAATATACTCGAGCAGTTTAGGAAGCAATGGAGCATTACGTGCGCAGTCCCACAACAGGTGGTAATCCCTGCCCCTCCCCCATCCCATAGCATTCATCTTCACTTCCTCAACACTCAATCATCCTTTGGGATGCTCAAAATAGATGTTGCTGCTGCCATTTAGATTTTTCTAGTTGCAAGTTTCTGCATGTTACTGTAATCCTCGTTTGCTGTATCATTTCACCGCTCGCTAAGGAAGAATTATAAAAAGTCAGATATTAATCTGCAAATTAACAATGAGGTACTCACCACTAACCCAAACCTAACCAAGAAATGCATGAATTGATTATTTCCAGCCATAGATTACTGACTGAGCATTTTCAGCTTTTATTTACTGACAAGCAAGAGGGAGAAAAGGAGGAGAGCGCTTTGGACCAGTTGCTGTGCCTCTGTGCCTTCAGTCATTACACGGACCGTTTCAAATCCCAGACCTCCAGTCTAATATTTTAAATTGTTGACATACTAGCCTTCCAGTTGACGCTAAATGGAAGAGCTTTAATTGAGTGTGATGTACAAAATGTTTACAGCATGGCAAATTAATGCACATCAAGCCATTAAATTATAATACGCCTTCCTAGAGCTGCACTAATTATATGCTAATGATTCTCTGATCTGTTGACGTCACTGGTTTATTATGTACATAGTAATAACATGCAGCTGCAGTTGTAGCTTAAAACGAGCGGCTGGGACAAGTCGAGACCCTGTTGGACACAATCGGTTGGGTCCAAATTATGGGAAGATACATCAAAAGATGTGCAATTACACCCAAGCCTATCCCGAAGCAGCTCACAGTCAACTGCACCCATGAGTTAAATTCGTCTGTATTTTGACAAAGCATAGCTTGGGATCGTTTTTCAAAGACAGTCATTAAGTGAGATCAGTGAGCATCATTAACTGTTTATAAAAAGAGGATCATTAACCAACTCATGAACCTTCTGAGCAACCGTAACATGTTCCTGTCTCCCACTGCCTCATTCCTCTCCACAAAGAGGAAATACAGATATCGTGGCGTTGACACTTTTGCAGCCTACAGAGAAAGCCCTTGTGACCTGCACCAAAGTCCACTCTGCATGCTAACTAGCATCCAGGAATTAAAGAAAACAAAGCCTCAGTCACAAGATATGTACTGTAAATTTTCAAACAATATCAAACCTACATTTCCTTCCTCCTCCGGGTTGTTTTTTTTTTTTTAAAAAGGAAAAGCAGACTGACACATGATCCCTTAAAGGCCCTTTTGAAATGCTGAGGATTAATATGATCCAAAATAGAACAGGACAACCCTGACATTTTTTTTTAAAATACAAGTTGTAAGTATCCAAGAAAGTCAGGACCTGTGGTCTCTAATCTGGTGTAATAATAGTAATAATAATAAATAATAATCATAAATTTGCTCTCAAAAGCCATATCTGCAAGGTGGGGAAGACAGAGGGAACAAGAACTGCATCATGTTTTAACTCAATTAAGCGCAGATTTCAGCTCTTTTCCCCAATTGTTTCCAAGCCACTAAAACGGAAGCCACAGCATGTGAAAACAGTGCCCCCTTGCGCCAAACACAGGCATAAAAGCACTACATGATAGAAATTTTCTGCAAAATTGAGGCATGACACAGTGTTAGCTCAGAAAAAACAACCCATCCATACCTGTGGTACTGTGCCTGCAGGAACTGGAATTCTTCCTTAATCCGATCCAATGTTTCTGGGAAGGTGAACTTTAAAGGTTGGGATGATGCTGCTGGAGTTGCCGGTGGTGGAACCTGGAAGAGACAGAGAGAGACAGAGAGAGACAGAGAGAGACAGAGAGAGACA